CCATCTTTGCCTCCATCTCTGGTGTTGCTGCTTCTCTGGATAAGGTCTCGCATTCCACTTGTCATTTTCTCCCTTGATGATCCTAGGGTCCTTTGTTTCTGGACTGTAAAATTAACAACTCCCCTGTTTTCATTACAAAACTTCTACCTTTACAATTGTGACAGTTGCAATTAGTCATGATAACAATTACTCACTACCTTTTTTTTTTTATTATTCCAAGTCTTTGCATATCATTACAATACTTTATTTTGTATTCTGAACTGCCCTTTTATGTCTCTAGCTCATTTCTTTACTTCATCATTTATTTCATTCACTTTAACTACTCTATGTTCAAGAGCAAATTTCTGTTTTTCTGACATCCATTTGGTCTTTTCTTTCTTTCCTGTCTTTTTAATGACCTTTTGCTTTCTTTATGTATGATGTCCTTGATGTCGTCCTACAATGTCATCCTACAGGTCTTTGGTCATTAGTGTTCAATTCATCAAATCTGTTCTTGAGATGGTCTCTAAGTTCAGATGAAATATGTTCAAGGTCATACTTAGGTTCTCGTGGACTTGTTTTAATTTTCTTCTGCTTCACCTTGAACTTGCATGTAAGTAATTAATGGTTTGTTCCACAGTCATTAAGTAATTAATAGCCTCGTTCTGTGTTCTGACTGATGATATTCAGCTTCTCTATCATCTCTATCAGAAGGAGCCCGAGTAACATACTGAGTTATGAATTGAGCTGCTAACCACAAGGTCAGCAATTCAAATCCACCAACTGCTTTTTGGGAAACAGATGAGGTTTTCTGCTCCCATCAAGATTTGCAGCCTCAGAAACCCTACACAGGGTTGCTATGATTCGGAACTAACTCAATGACGTGCAGCAGCAGCAGAAGTATCTCTTTGCATAGATGCAGTGGATTTGATTCCTATGTATCCCATCAATTTATGTTATTGAAACAAGATATTTGCAATGGGTAAATTGTCTTGCAAAATTCTATCATATTGCATGGAGGGATTGTAATCATTACAATGAAACAGAATACAATAGGATAAATGTAAAACTGATGTTCTCCCATGTAAACCCACATAATTTACAATAAAAACTTTAAAAAAAAAAGTCTATCATGTGATCTCCAGGGTTACTTCTATCACCATGCTGTATTTTCCAACTTCAGATCCTTCTTTGTTTCCAACTTTTGTATCCCAATAATGAGTAATTAACAATCCAGCTTAATTGCTTATTTGATCAGTTTCAGACTAAATAAGATGGTTTTGTTGTTATTGTTGTTGTTAGATGCTGTCAAGTCAGTACCAACTCAAAGCGACCTTATGCACACCAGAACGAAACACTGCCCAGTCCTTTACCACCTTAACAATTGTTTCTACGCTTGAGCCCATTGCTGCTGCTACTGGGCAAATCCATCCATTGGCGTAGTCCTCTTTTTCACTGAACTTTCACTTTACCAAGCATGATGTCCTTCTCCAGGGACTGGTCCCTCCTGATAATACATGAGTGGCAAAGTCTGCCCATCCTAGCTTCTAAGGGGTATTCTGGCTGTACTTCTTCCAACATACATTCGTTTATTTTTCTAGCAGTTCATTATTGTTGTAACATTCTCCTCCAATACCATAACTCAAATGCATCAATTCTATTACAGTCTTCCTTATTCATTGTCCAATTTTCATATGAGACTATTGAAAATACTATGGCTTGGGTCAGGTGCGCCTTAGTCCTCAAACTGATATCTTTGCTCTTGTGCAACAAATTTGCCCAATGCAATACACCGTTTGATTTCTTGACTGCTGCTTCCGTGAGTATTGATGGTTGATATGAGCAAAATAAAGTCTTTGACAATGTTAATCTTTTCTCCATTTATAATGATGCTATTTATTGGTCCAGCGGTGAGGATATTTGTTTTCTTTACATTGAAATGTAAACCCATACTGAAGGCTGTGGTCTTTGATCTTCATCAGTAAGTATTTTAAGTCCTCTTTACTTCTAGCAAGCAAGATTGTATCATCTGCATACTACAAGTTGTTAATGAGCCTTCCTCCAATCCTGATGCCTCTTTCTTCTTCATATAATCCAGCTTCTCAGATTATTTGCATATAAATTGAATAATCATGGTGAAAGAATACAACCCTGCCACACACCTTTCCTAATTTTAAACCATTCGGTGTCCCCTTGTTCTGTTCTAACGACTGCTTCTTGGTCTATGAACAGGTTCCTCACAATTAAGCAACAATTAAGTTTTCCAGAATACTCATTCTCTGCAATGTTGTCCATATCTTGTCACGATCCACACAATCAAAAGTCTTTGCATAATAAATAAAGCACAGGTAAACATCTTTCTGGTATTCTCTGCTTGCAACAGAGATCCATCTGACATCAGTAATGATGTCTCTTGTTCCACATCCTCATCTGAATCCAGCTTGAACCTCTGTCAATGTACTGTTACAACCGTTTTTAAAATTACCTTTAGCAAAATGTACTTGTATGTAATATTAATGGCATTGTCTGATGATTTCCACATTCCATTGGTTCACCTCTCTTTGGAATGGGTACAAATATGGAACATTCCATTTCTTTTTTGAGAAATTCTAATTTTCCTAGATTCATATTTCACAATTCTACATTCCAGTTATTAATGGATGTTTGCAGCTGTTTTTTTCTCATTTTGAATTATCTCGTATCAGCAAATGAAGGTCTCAAAAATTTAACTCCATCCACATCATTCAGGTCAGCTGTACCTTGAGGAGGCAGCTCATCCTCAGTGAGGGGCATATCTTCTGGCACTATACCAGACAACCTTCCATTGCTATTTATAAGATTTTCATGGCCAATTTTTTCAGAAGTATATTGCCAGGTTCTCCTTCTTAGTCAGGAAGCTCTGCTCAAACTTGTCCACTGTGGTTAATCCTGATGTCATTTGAAATACTGGTGGTATACTTTCCAGCATCACAGCAACATGCAAGCCACCAGTGTACAACAAACTGACAGACAAGTGGTGAATCCCTAATAAGAATCACCACAAAAAACATACTAACAGATTTGTTGAAAATTAACCCTTCAATCTATACTAGATTTCTCAACTTCAGCACTACTAATATTTGTGTAACTCTCTTTCAAGGGTACTTTCCTGTGCATTGTGAAATGTTAGCAACACCTCTGGCTTCTACTTACTAAATGTCAGTAACAACTCCATGGTTATGACAACTAAAAATGTGTCCAGACATGGCTGGGGAGCAAAACCATTCTAGTTGAAGAATATTGTCTACATTGTATACACAGTGTTATTGTTTACTTGAGTTGCATGTAGCGCCATCACCAGACTCTAAACAAATGCCTTACTTTTCCTGGAGACATGCCCAATCAGTCTCCCTGATTGTTCTCCAATCATTTTATCAGACTTTCTTAAACTTTCAAATTTTATCATGTAATCTCACCTTACTCCTCTTTAATGAATTCTGGTGAAAATAACATTTGTTTGCATTGAAAATAAGTTATCTGATTTGTCAACTTTCTTTATTTGCACAAACTCGAGTGAAAAGTGAAAAAGTCTTTGTTTAAAACAGGAGTTGAACTGTTCTCTTTCTGATGTCTATGGGATCGTGGAAATGAATTTCCTCTTTAACTGTATACTGTCTGTCTCATCCTTGTTTCTTACTCAGGATCCAAATTGGTTTCCTTTGTAGATAACACTTTTCAAAATGTAATAGAGAAAAATTGCTGTCACTGAGCTTTCTGCCTGAGCTGAGTCTGTCTCCTCTTTCATCCTCATTACGGCACCTACTGAGCTTACAATTGTTCTAGAAACATCTTTTCCAAATACATGCTGCATCATAAGAAGGAACTAGAAAGCTTACATATTTCAGGATATATATATATATTTTATCTCCTACAGTTATGAACACAGGGTTTTTTCTTATGTTGTGAAAGGACAATTCTAGAAAACAAAAAAGAGCCAATCAAATCAGTTCAGTCAAATAAACACTGGTCTGCTAACATCAAGGTCAGCAGTTCCAACCCACCAGCTGCTCCTCAGAAACCCTTACAGGGTCATTATGAGTCAGAGCCAACTTGGCGGCACTTAACAACAACAATAGAAAACTGTAGGGGTTCCCAAAGTGGTGCCTAGTTACTGTGGTTGGCTGCTAACCTAAGGCTGGCGATTTGTGTCCTCCCAGAGATGCCTCAGGACAAAGGCCTAACAATCTACCTTTGAAAACTCAGTCACTGAAGAATGTTTGGAGCACAGTCCTACTGTGACACACATGGAATTGTCATCATGAGTCAGAATTGCTTCAGTCGTAACCAACTAAGCAAATTGTGAGTTCCTTGCGGACAGAGACCATGTCTCCAACTATGCATACTCAATAAGGCTCATGAAGAAAATGCGTAAAGAGAAGCAAGCCCAGTTCTGACTAATCTGGACCGTTTATCTATTTGTGAGTGCAGTTTTAGCAGCTTAACTGAAGGCTTGCTGTCTTTAGATTTTTCTTTGTTCTTTGTTCAGGTCGCCCTTCAGCACCCTGGACTGGGCAGATCATTGTCACTGAAGAGGAACCTGCAGGTAAAAGCTACGGCTTTCCCAGATACTATTGCATATGTCTTTGCTCTATCGGTTAGTCGTATTGTCAAAGGAACAGTGGATATTATTTAAGGTATTTGGTGAGAGCATTCTAAGTCAAAGGAAATATTGGAAGATCATGAAGTAGCATTTAGTCTGAGAATCTCAACTTTATTGAGTTATTATTGTCACACAATAAATGACATGTATGTAAAGTATATAATTTGATGCATTTTGCATATATGTACACCTCTGAAACCATCATCATGGTCAAAAGAACAAATTCATCCATTAGCTCTGAAACATCTTTGTGTCCCATTGTAATTCCTCCCTCCCACTCTCTCTCCCTTCTCCAGGTCACCATTCATCTGCTTTCTGTCATTATAGATTTAGTTTGCTATTTTCTAGTATTTTCGATAAATGAAACCATACAGTATGTATTTTTTGTCTAGTTTATTTCACTTGGCATAACTATTTTTTTAGATTCATCCATGTTGATATATGTAGCACCAGTTCATTCCAATTTATTTATTCATTCACTATTGAAACTTCCCATAAACATTCTTATATGCTAATGTGGACATATGCTTCCATTTCTCTTGGATACATACCAGGAGTTGAATGGGTAGGTTATATGGTAGGTATATGTTTGATTTTTTTTTTTTTTTAATTCAAGAAAGAGCCAAACTATGTTGTAAAATAATTGTATGGTTCTACATTATCACCAACAGCGTATAGAGTTCCAGTAGCTACACATTGTCACCAGTACTTAGAATGGTCAGTTTTTTAATGTTAGCCCCTCTAGTTGCATATGTGGTGGTATTTCTTTGTGGTTTAAATGTTCATTTTCCTAATGGCTAGCAATATTGAGCATTTGCTAATTTACTTATTTGCCAATTTGCGTTATATTTGACATCTTTGACTAAGATATTTTGTTTTCTCCAGGAAGTTTTATAGCTTTAGCTGGTACATTTCAGTTTAAGACCCATTTCAAGTACATTTTTTGTATGTTGTGTGAAATAAGAGTCAACAGATATTGTTCCAGTAATATCTGTTAAAAAAATCATCCTTTCCCCATTGAATTGCTTTGGCACCTTTGCCAAAATCAATTGATTATATATCCTTGGATGTATTTCTAGAATCTCTGTTGTGTCTCATTGATCGGTTTGGTTTTCTTTACACCATTTCCACACTGTCTTGGTTATTGTAGCTTTTATAAATTATGTTTATTTTGTTTGTTAAAAACTTGATAAGTCTTGAAATCAGATAGTATAAATCCTATAATCTTGTTGTATTTCAAAGTTGTTTAGGCTATTCTAAGTCTTAGTATTTCCATATAAATTTTAAAGCCAACTTATCAATTTCCACAAAATGGCTGTTGAGATCTAAGGATCAATTTGAAGCAAATTGACATATTAACAATGAGTCTTCCAGTTCATGAATATTGTATATCTTTTTATTTAATTAAGTTTTTTTAATGTCTCTCTCAACAAATGTTTAGTCATTTTAGTAGAATACAGATTTTGATTTTTTTAAAATCATATTTCACTTTAGGAATTTCATATTTTTAATGCTATTATAAATGGTATTGCTTTTAATTTCATTTATATTTTTATGTTGGTATGTAGACATTCAATTGTCATTCTATATTGATCTTATATCCTGCCATCTTGCATAGCTAATTTATTAATTCTGTCACAGTCTTTCACTATTAAGATGAACTTATCTAAGCATTAACTGTCAGTTTTTATAGATATCCTTTATCAGTTTGAAGGAAGTTCCTTCTAATCCTAACTTGCTAGAGTTTTTACCAAGAATGGATGTTAGAGTTTGTCAAATTCTTTTCTGGATCTTTTGATATGATCAGATGACTTTTCTTTTTTAATTAACATGATAAAGACATGGATTGATTTTTATCTTGCATTCCTGGAATAAACCTTATTTAGAAATGCTGTATTATCCTTTTTATATATTATGATAGTTTCCTTGTTAAAATTTTGTTAAGAATATTTGTCTGGGTATTCATAAGGACTATTGGTCTTTATTGTTCTCTTGTGACATTTTGCTTTGGTTTTAGTGTCAGGGTAGTACCAAATCAGGTCTCATTGAATGAGTTGTAAAGTATTTTTATTTCAATTTTCTGCAAGAGTTTGTCTAGAATTATTGATATTTCTTCTTTTAATGTTTATTAGCATTCACAGTAGAAAATCTAGGCCTGGAGTTTACTTTGTGGAAAGCTTTTAAACATATTCAATTTTGTTTTCTTTCTGTTTCATTTTGGATGGTTTCTATTGCTATGTAATTAAGTTTACTAGTCTTTTCTTCTTAAGGATTTAATCTGCATTTCATCCTTGACTTTGTAGTTTTCATCTTTAAACATTCAATTTGGATCATTTTATATATTCCATGTCTTAACATGTTCAATCTTTACTATCTTTAACATACTGAATACAATAACTTTTTATGTTCTTGTTTACTCCTTCTATCATCTGTGTCATCTGTATTTCTGAATATCATCTATATTCAGAAATATCATCTATATTTCTGGTTTTTATATTAATTGATTTTTCCTCATTATGGATTTTTTTTCTTCTTTTCCTATGTGGAATTTTGTTATAGGATGCCAGATATTTTTAGTTTTACATTGTTTACATTGTTGGATGCTAGATATTTTTGTGTTTTCTTTTGTAGCTTTGTTCTGAAACTCAGGTTAGCTGGAAACAATTGGATCCTTTCAAGGCTTGCTTTTGTTAAGAGGGGTCAGAGCAGCCTTTAGTTTGAGATACTGTGGCCACCTTCAAAGTTCTGAATACTTAGGAAATCTTCTATTCTGGCTAATGGGAACATGAACTATTTTAGGCATTGGGAGAGCTTTGAGGAGTGTTCTTCCTAGTCTGATTGTGTGATTCTTTTCTCTGACCTCAGATAGCATTTCAATGAATGAACAACTTTTAAGGGAAGAATTTAGAGACATGATACTTCATAATATTGTGGAACAATAGCTAACTTCCTACATAGATGTATCCTGTGACTCTCTGGGTACCCTGGGTTACACAGAATGTACTCTTCTTGATTTTCTATTTCAGAGGGTATTATTCCTGGGGCCCCCACAGACCTCTCTGTGAATGAGACCACTCCGAGCTACGTTGTGCTCAGCTGGAAACCCCCTGGCCAGCGTGGTCATGAGGGCATTACGTATTTCATTGAAAAGGTAAGATTCTACGATCAACATATACGCACATACCTGAAGCCATTTCTAAAACATTTCTTGAAAGTGGTAGAGGTTACATTTATGGGAGGGAGGAAAAGGGAGGATGGCCCTCGATTCTTTAAAGCCTTGTTGTTGTTGTTGTTGTTGTTAAGTGCCGTCGAGTCGGTTCCGACCCATAGCGACCCTGTACAGGGTTTCCAAGCGTGTAAATCTTTACGAGAGTAGAAAGCCTGATCTTTCTCCCGCGGAGTAGCTGGTAGTTTCAAACCGCTGACCTTAAGGTTCGCAGCCCGATTCGTAACCACTACGCTACCAGAGCTAACTTCTATGAACTCTATTCCTCTGAAAATGTATACCACACAGAACTTTGCCTGAAAGTTCAGAGAGTTTATGGATCCCTGAGACTCATCCATAGACAGAGGTCCACAGACCCCCAAGTCACAGCCTTTGCAAGAAGAGAGTCCTGGTGTGGCACTGTGGGTTAATGTGCCAGACTGCAAGGCCGGTTTGAACCACAAGGTTGGTGATTCAAGCTCACCAGCTACTCCTTGGAAACCCTATACAGGGTTGCTATGAGTCAGAACCAACTCGACAGAACTTAGCAACAACTTACTGGCTAAGACAAGAGAACAAAACATACCAATTCTCCCTGGTACTTAACAACAAGAGAAGGGTCCTGAAATTCCAGGTGGTCCATTTGACAATGGTTTTGTTTTGTTTTGTTTTTTAAAGAAACTTAGTAGATAGTAGAGTGGGATCAGGGATTATAGAACTGTTGTTGTTGTTAAGTACCATCGAGTTGGTTCCGACCCACAGCGACCCTGTATAGGGCTTCCAAGGTTGTAAATCTTTATGGGAGCAGAAAGCCTCATCTTTCTCCTGCAGAACGGCTGGTAGTTTCAAACTGCTGACCTTGAGGTTCGCAGACTGATCCGTAACCACTATACTTTCAGAGCTCCTTCCAAGGTATTTATGAGTAGAGGAGACTTGATCAGGGCCCACTGCACACTCACAGAACACCCTGACAGAGCTTGGAGTATATTACTGAAGTCTAACTGAATTCCAGATTGGTTTTCTGAACTGAGTTTAAAGAGAATTCTGATGATCCATTTCTTTCTCTCAAACATCTTATAATGATAACAAGGACTAAAGCATCAGAGAGGAGAGCTGGCAATGAAGGTCTAGGATTTGTGACATGGATAAGAATTACATGTAAATCTCCATACATTGCTAGATTTAGTGAAGGAAGGATTATTGTTGTTGTTAAGTGGCATCGAGCCAGTTCCAACTCACAGCCACGCTGGATAGGATTTCTGAGGAGTAGTTGGTGAATTTAATGCCCAGCAAGTGGAGAAGAGCCAAGACTGGAAAGGAAATTATTTGATCCAGCTGCAAATTATGGCGCAGTATCTGAGGGCCACAAGAAGTCATTTGCTAACAGGAATAATTGCTTCTGGAAAAAGAGCATTTAAAGAGAATTTGCTTACGAAAATCTTGATTAAGATATAATTGAAAAATCAAAACAAAAGTAAGCTTATTTTTAAGAAAATTTACTTCTTTATTGTCGGATACACACTATCTTTTTTAAATACCAACAAACAAAACGAATGTTTGGGCTCTTGTAGCATTTTAAAAACAGAATTGTATAGTATCATGATAAGGTATCTTTACACTTTCTTCTCATAGCAAAATCATAGAAAATGCCCAATTTTTTGCAAAAGTATAATGGAGCGCAATTCGTTTTCCTAAATGCTATTCTGATTATCAATTTCTGAACAATTTCCTGACACTACACATTATATGACATTTATGGCAAAAAAATAGATAACCTAGGTGCGTAGGTGTAAGCAAACATCTGCATTAAGTAACAACATAAAAACAGCATGAAAATATCTTTATGGCTTTTTAATTATTTGAAATCAGAGACTCTTGAGGAAATGAAACTGGAGCTAAAAGTGTTAGGGTCTGTGGCCTCCCTTTATTAATTACTTTTCCTTAACAAAGACACTTAATTCATGTCTTGGAGGTAATTCCTCACTGCCCTCTTACCCATAGCAAATTGATAACAATAAATGCATCCTCTCTTCAATGTACAAAATGGACATCTTCCAAGAGAGTCTGGTTTTACCAAAATAATGGGAAGAATTTGTATTAATTTTTGTTTTCTACATATTAGCTTCAAATAGAATTTAACTAGAGCATTTCAGCACTGTCTTTTTATTGTTTGTTTTTAAATACAGGGTAAAAATAGTCATAGATAAATGTTCACTTCCTGGTGTGTTTAATACACACCCCCACCGAGTCACTTTGAAAGACTTCCTAGGAGCAGCGTCCTAAATAAGTTCTGTGACAGTAATTACTATCTTTCCCATTATAATGACACAGTAGAAACCCACGACTGAGGCATTTTCTTCAAATGAGTCAATTTTAGTTTCTGTTGAACGTTTCCTCTGGTCACATAAGCTAATTTCTCCATGAAACTGCAACTTCTCTCAACCTAAATGCATGTGAGTCTGATTAAAATTTAAATATTCTTCCACCAGCATCTCTCTTAGAACAGAATGAAAAACCAAATCAAAGCAATAGCTGCTCGGACTCATGCTGACCCCACGTGGTCAGAATAAACTGCACTCCATATTGTTTTCAATGGCTGATTTTTTGGAAGAAGATCACCAGGTCTTTCTTCCAAAGTGCCTCTGTGGAAACTCAAACTCCAAACTTTTGGTTAGCAGCCAAGTCCATTAAAGTTTGCATCATCCAGGGTGAGTGGGGGAGGCATGGCCAGGGCCTGCTGCACACTCACAGATCACCCTGAAGCAGTCTGGAGTATGTCACTGCGCGTTCACTGAATTCCAAATGGGGCTCAAGTTTGAAGTAAATTCTGATGATCACTTCTAACATGATCACCTTTCTAAATGGAAATGCCTCACTTGTCTGTGGAGTTTCCATCCCCAGAATGCTAACTAGCTTGGCTTGGCGGTGCTGTTACCTGGAGCTGACACTCCTTCCCACCAGAGCTGACCTGGGATTTGCATGAACTTGCCTGTCAGTTACAGGCTGACTACCAGTGAGGGCATGCATGCAGTGGTGCAATATTATACAAGAGATTTTGATGCAAAGGCCTACAGAGCCCCCAGCCATTTTCCTTAGCTGTCCTATATCTTGCCTTCTTTGTTTCTCCCCATAAAAAATCTGACCATGTCAGAGACAAGCACTTTATTGTTTGCTAGCTGTCTCCTTCAGTAAGAATGAAAATAGCTCATGTTTACCATATGCCAGATGCTGTTCTAAATACTCTATATCTGTACAATAACTCTATGAGGTAAGGTAGGAGTCCTGGCATAGTGTTATAAGATCAGCACTGGACTGGTAACCGAATGGTCAGCAGTTCAAATCCACCAACTACTCCTTGGAAACCCTATACAGGGTCTCTATGAGTCAAAACCGACTCGACAGCACTTTAACAACCACAACATGAGGTAAGATAAATACTTTTATTTCCAATTTTACCTGCTTTGTTGATAAAGACACAGGAACATGGATGGGTGCTAAGAATTAGAAAAGTATCTGACCACAAAATACCCTCAAAATAAATGAAGGACTTTCTTAAATTGGTCGATTATCTTATTTAAGTAATCAAGGAAGTGAAGCATTAAAGTAGCTTATCATCCAACAATATAAAGCTGTATTTAGACAATTCCATGATGTCAGGAGGGACCAGTCCCTGGAGAAGAGGAAGACCCCAACAAGATGGTCTGACACAGTGGCAGATACAGTAGACTTAAACCTGACAGTTGTGAGGATGGCTCAGGCCTGGACAGTGTTTCGTTCTGCTGTGCAGAGGCTCACTGTGAGTTGGAAACGACTCAATGGTGCCTAACAACAACATGACATCAGAAGATCCCTGGTGGCACAATGGTTAAAGTGCTTGACTGCTAACCAAAGGTCGGAGTGTTCAAACCCACTTGCCTCCATGGAAGAAAGATATGGCAATGTACTTCCATAAAGATTGTTGTTGTTGCAATGTGCCGTGAAGTCAGTTCCGACTCATAGCGACCCTGCACAGGGTTTCCGAGGCTGTCAATCTTTACGGGAGCAGAAAGCCTCATCTTTCTCCCGCGGAACAGCTGGTAGTTTCGAACTGCTGACCTTGTGGTTCACAGCCTGAGCCTTGAAAATCCTGTGGGACGGTTCTACTCTGCCCTGTAGGGTCTCGTGAGTTAGCATCTACTTGATGGCAATGGAGGTGACAGAATGGTCACACCATTTTCTCCAAATTTCTTCTGCAGCCTAGTTCCCTAGCAGGTTGCAGTTTTGTTGACTGAAACCTAGAACTTAGAACTATCTGGCGTCGAGTCCCGCCCCCCGCCCCTACTGTGCTCTCATTGGTTTCCCCTGCTCTGTGCAGTGTGAAGCAGAGTCGCAAAACTGGCAGCGGGTGAACACAGAGCTCCCAGTGAAATCGCCCCGCTTTGCTCTGTTCGACTTAGCGGAAGGAAAATCCTACTGCTTTCGGGTCCGCTGTTCTAATTCAGCTGGAATTGGGGAGCCTTCAGAAGCGACGGAAGTGACTGTGGTAGGGGCCAAGCTTGGTAAGTCTAAATTAAGCAGCTGTAAACTTGATTTTAATTCAACTCAAGGGAAAATTCCAAAACAACCATCCAATGTGTGTGTGTATTAAGAATTGGGCTGCTAGTTGCAAGGTTGGTTGTTCAAACCCACCAGCTCCTCTGCAGTGGATAATCTCAAACACTGCGGAGCAGTTCTACTCTGTCCTATTTGAGTCCAAATCAACCAGATGGCAATGGGTTTGGTATTTATCTATTGTTGTTGTTGTTAAGTGTCGATTCAGACCTACAGCGACCCTGTATAGGGTTTCCAAGGAGCAACTGGTGAGTTTGAACCACCGACCTTGCGGTTCAAATCAACTTTGCAGTCCAGCGCATTAACCCACAGCGCCACACCGGGTCTCCAGTATACACCTATATATATATCACAGGACTCCTGTATATATCTAGATAGATAGATAGTTGTTGTTAAGTGCTGTCGAGTCTATTCCAACCCATAGCAACCCTGTATAGGGTTTCCAAGGAGCAGCTGCTGAGCTTGAACCACCACCGTGCAGTACAAACGACTTTGCAGTCTAGCGCATTAACCCACAGCACCACGACTGCATATAGAGAGAGACTGTTGTTGTTGTTATGTGGCATGGAGTCCGTTCCGACTCATAGCTACCCTGTACAGGGTTTCCGAGGCTGTAAATCTTTATGGGAGCAGAAAGCTCATCTTTGTCCTGTGGAACAGCTGGTAGTTTCGAACTGCTGACTGTGAGGTTAGCAGCCTGATTCGTAACCACTACACTAGATAGATGTGTATATATTGCTGTACACTTATATATTTAGTATATATGTTTGGGAGTACAGTGGCTCCATACAATAAGCACTGGACTACAAACAACAAGGCCAGCTGTTTGATCCCACTAGTCACTCTGCAAGAGAAAGATGAGATTTTCTGCTCCTGCAAAGAGTACAGCTTCAAAAGCCCTATTGTTGTCGTTAAATGCCATGGAGTCGGTTCCAACTTAGAGCAACTCTGTATAGGGTTTCTGAGGAGCAGCTGTTGAGTTTAAACCACCAACTTTATGGTC